GGAGGGGTTTCAACCCTACTGTGCCTCCAGCAACAGCCTCCCTTAAAAGCAAGACTGAAAGCATACTTGATGCTCCTAGTATTCCCCTACTCTAATTCCAAGAGAAACTGTGCTTTTGTGAATTTATTAGCCAGTGCCATTAACTGCCGTTAGTTAGTTCTCACACATTATTGTCACTGGGATTTCGGACGATTTGTAGTTTTGATTGCTTATTTTCTTGTCAGTGGTTTTGGAAGTCCATCCATCCAAAAGCGTAAAAGCTTCAGTGTTATGCCAGGGATGGCTGGCTCCCTTTGGCCCTGGGAAGTGAAGGCAGGGAGAAAGAGACACTGACTGTTTCAAAAACAAAGAACAGATGCTCCATGTATTAAGGAGCTAAGTGTCATTCCGGGGACTCGTGCGAGTGGCACGCTCACTTACAAAGAGTAGCTGTTCCAACAAGGTCATTTATGCTTTAATGTAATCAGTTATGCCAGTATGGATAAAGAACAAAATAGCTACAACCTGGCAATGAAGCATCATTACATTATAAGCAATACTATCTCCTTGAGTTCAAGCTTCCTCAAAAATCCCAGTAGAGTCCAGTTCATAGATAAGAGTGCTCCTTCCTTTTCTGTGCTGCAGGACGAAAGGGGAGGGTGTGCCTGGTGAACCCAAGATCCCAGTAAGAAACCAGAAGCACGTCTGACAGCACATCTCCAGAAGACAGCTTGGAACCCCCTCGCTCCCACACAAGCATGGCCGAGCCCCATCACATGCCTCATCTGTTCCCACTGCTCAGAGACCCATCTTGATCCTCACAGGAACGAAGGTGCTTTCAGTGTGAGAGCACCAAATCAGAGTTCAATCGTTTTGTCCTCCAGAGCTTTATGCCATCCTTTACAGAAGCTTTTTCAGACATGAAGAACTATCACTGGCTGGCTTAAAAAGGGAATAATTGACTGACAGCTAAAAAAAAACCTGCTAAGGACAATAGCATTTGCCAGGCTGGTATTTCTCATCTGAAGACAAAATGCATTTTATCAACACCCTGAAATTATTTTGTCAACAAAATTCATTTTGTAGCATTCCCTTCACCTGTCAGGCTGGCAGAACGCTCTGGAATGGTTTAAACCCCATTTTGCTAGCAGGATTAACTCAGTTCTGCCTTGCCACGGCACGAGCCGGGAGGTGCTGCAGCACTCGTGACGGAAGCACCAAGGCACAGCTGCAGGACTGCACCAGCCCTGACGGGAGCAGTGAGCAACCGGCCACATGGAGACAAGACTCCTGCGGGGTAAATCCTGCCTGCACGATTTCCTTGATCTCACTGAGCCCGTTATGAAACCATAAATGAGAGCTGATTGACAGACATGCCAATTTATACTGAAAGCTAACAAATGCTGGTAACTGTTATTCCTGGAAACAAAAGCTCCATCAAAGCTTTCTTTAACCTTGTTTCTACATCTTTTACCAGTTCCTGTCACCAGCCTCCATCTCAAAAGGCAAACTCAGGGTGTGAGTTGCTGCCTGGCACCTTGGTTTCATTTTTTAGTCTTCCACAATGCACTTTCTGACTTGCTGGATGTGGCTTCAGGCTGGAGCAAGGAAAACCTGGAGTAGGTGGATGTGTCTGAAGCTGTGACCCCATGGAAAGCCCATGCTGGAGCACGAATCGTGGCCACAGAGGACCCAGGCTGGAGCAGTGTGTTCCCAAAGGACTGTCTTCCATGGGAGGGACCCCATGCTGGAGCAGGGAAGGGCATGATGGTCAAGGAACAGCAGAACAAAGCATAAAGAACTGAGCACAGATCCCATTCCCTGTCCCCCTGCACCACTCAGAGGGAGGAAGGAGAGGAGCTGGGAGTGAAGGAGTGAAATGAGCCTGGGAGGAAGGGAGGGCAGGGGCAAGGTGTTTGGTTTTGTCACTATCCTGTTCTAGTTTACTTTGTGACACAGTAAATGAATCTCTTTTGCTTGTGATGGCAACTGTGGGTGATCCCCCGTCCTCACCTTGGGAGCTTTTTCACCCCACTTTCCCCCAGTCTTCCTGAGAGGATGGAGCAAGAGCAGCTTGGTGGGTGCCTGCCCACAGCCAGGGTTAACACACCACATCTGTGGTGAGTTAATGGCTGAGCTGGAAAACAAGAGCCTCAACCCAGTGGATACCGCTGCTTCCTCCTACCCCTGTGCTACCTACCTCTGCTGCGTGCCCAAGAACCCAGACCTTCTGTCACGGAGTTATAATCTGGCCCATCCCTTCCCTGTTCTGCCTGTGCTGGGGTTTTGTACCACTGGCACACAGCCCCTTGCTCATTCCCATCCTCCTTCCGCTCCCAGCGGTGCTGAGGCCTTTACACTCACATGGTTTAAACAGACCTTCTCCTGCTGGGCCCCTTTTTGAGACTGAATCATTAATTCATTAATCTGTTTTTCATATTTCTAAATCAAGACAGACATGACTGGTGTGGGTGATCAATACTGCATTCTCTCATTCCTCTCAGTTCCCATCATTTTAGAATCTACCCTGCTTTTAATCTTAAGTCGTTTTAATAGGAATTGGCTTTATGAAGAATTTGACACTTCATTATGGCAGCCCCATGCTAATAGACTTAATAATTCATATCTGCATTGGTCACTTTTAACTGATAATACACATTCTAGGGCTGCTTCATGACTGTGTTCTTGCAGTAACAGCTCTGGGCTTCCCCAGTGATCTCTCATTGCATTATCAACACACAGGGACTGCATCTGTCAAGACTCCACCTGTGTTTTTGGGGAGCACAGGTCACCCCAGACTGCACCACAGCCTCTGCAGTGTTACAAGCTCCTCTGGTCCCACAGGCAGATGAAGGCAGTGAGGCAGAGCTGGCACACGGAGCTGTTGCACCCAGCAGAGATCTCTGCCAAGAGGAAGCAGCACCCACCTCCCTGCACTGAAGGACATGTGCCTTCCTGCAGCATGACATCGTGGTGGGGTGGCCTTGGCTGGCCACCAGGTGCCCACCCAGCTGCTCCATTACTCCTCCTTCCCAACAGGTACAGGGGGAGAAAATACAACAAAAGGATTCTGGATGGAGATAAGGACAGGGCCAGGGGATGGGCACAGGGCCAGGGGATGAGCACAGGGACATGGCTCAGCAGTTACCATCACAGGCAAACAGATCTGGCCTGGGGAAATTAATCGAATTTATTGCAACCAAATCAGTGTAGGATAATGAGAAATAACAAAAAATCTGAAAACACCTTCCCCAGCCTTCCCTTCCTGGGCTCACTTCACCACCACCTCTCCACCTTCTCCCCCTGAGTGGTGCAGGGGGATGGGGAATGGGGGTTGCGGTCAGTTCATCATACATTGTCCCTGAGGCTCCTTCTTTCTCACACTCCTCCCCTGCTCCTTCCCATGGGAGACAGTCCTGCACAAGCTTCTGCAATAGGGGTCCTTCCCATGGGCTGCACTTCTTCCAGCGTGGGGTCCTTCAGGAGCAGGCTGCTCCAGCGTGGTCTTGCCAAAACACCCGGCCCAGTGTGGGCCCCTCTCCATGGGTTCCCCAGTCCTATGAGAAGCCTGCTCCAGTGCGGACTTTCCATGGAGTCACAGCACATCCCCCTGCTCTCATGTGGGATTCTCTCCAGGCTGCAGGTGGGTATCTCCATGCTCCACCATGGACTTCCATGGGCTGCAGGGGCAAAGCCTGCCTCACCACGGGCTGCAGAGGAATCTTCTGCAGCTCCTGGAGCACCTCCTCCCCTCCTTCCTCACTGAGCTTGGTGTCTGCAGCGTTTCTCTCACTTTTTCTCACTCCTCCCTCCTGTCTGCTGTTGCAGTTTTTACCCTTTCTTAAGCAAGTGATCACAGAGGCACTACCACCAGCCCCTACGGGCTCAGCTTTGTAAAGAGCAGGTCCGTATCAGAGCTGGCTGGAACTGGCTCTCTCCAACACAGGTGCATCTTCTGATATGTTCTCACTGAAGCCACCCTCACACACTCCCACTACCAAAACCTTGCCACATAAACCCAATGCAGACACCAACAAAGCAACACAGCCTAAGCCATCTGCTCCTTCTGACCCCTGTCCCCTCCACAGCAGATGATGGAGGACAGTATGGGACCTATCAGGTAAGCAAAAGGTCTGAGAATGGATCACACAAGTGCCTTTAACTGATATACACACCTCTTGCACTAGCTCCCTTGTCAGCTAACCCCAGCAAGTATTTATTAATGAAACTCTCCTGATTTTTGATTCATTTGATTGTTAAAGCTTGTGGAACTCGTACTGTTATTACTCATTGTTATTAATGTTCACAGCTCAGCCTCTCTCTTTCCAATACGCTCCACAGAGGAAATCGAAGGCTGAAGCCAATCGTTACAGTAAATGACTGATGGAGCCACTTGAGGATAGGAGTAAGCTGCTGCTCTGGGACCTGCTGCTCTGGGACTGCTGCAGGTTACTGGGAGTAAGTTAATCTTCACACACAAAGACTACAAGATAAGAGGCTGTTTCAGGTGGGGTCTGAGCACTGATTCCTTAGTCAGGTCATCAATGAGCATCACCCTAACAAAGCGGTCTGTGCACAGGACCTGTGACCAAGGCCATATTTCGATCTACGTGCAGAAACAGGTCTGAGTTCAGCAGGAGCATGGCCCCTGCTGGGCAGGATTGACACAAATACTCAGACAGATGCTCCAGGCAACTCAGCACAGCCTGGCAGAAAGCACATCTCCATGCCTGCACATACTGAAGGAAAGCAGAGCAATCCTTGGAAAGTTTCATCCTCTCCACCCCTCTGCAAATGCTCCTTCCTCAGGAAAGGCCAAGGACAACACCACAGGGCACAGCAGGCAGACCTCCAGCATGCAACACCCAAATGCGTATGGAGGGGAACAGCACGCTGCTTGCTTCCCTCTGCCCCTTCTCCAAGCCTTCTCTACCCTTCCACAGCCTCTTTGCTACAGAGCATTTGCCAGTTCTTGCACCGCATACAAACTCCTCAAGCCAGAATGGTGGTGGAGCTCCTACCTGTCAGATAGAGGAGATGCTTCTAAATCCTCAGTAGCGCTGTTACACCACCCTTCCAGAGCAATGTATTTGTTCATTTTGTATCTTCCGAGTCCACAGAGCCGCCACATATCATATTCAACCTATTATTCATCTCAAACAGAGAATTCTGCAAAGCAAGAAGAAATAAAAGAGAGCTTAATACAGCTTTACTAAAATGGAATTTGCCAAAGACTCACAGAAAAATGGATTTAATTAGGGCTGGTAATGGGGAACAGTTTGTTCCCGTGATTTAAAGCAGAAGTTAGATAGTGTCTATAATTTCAACATTTTAAATTATATATAGGGGGTTATTTCTCATTTCTACCTTAATTATAAAAATCTATCTTTATGAATCACAATTTTGAGGCAAATAAAGCCAAGGCAGCAAAAGTGATGTTTTAGTTAAAACTTTTAAGAACTCACAAAAGAAGCAACAGACACTTCAGTATGGGTAACACAGGCTTGCCATAGCAAACGAGTTGCAGGCAGTCCTCTGTGTGCCAGTGACAGACACCACCAGAAAGCTAACCTTTTACTTGGGAAAAGGTGTGTAAAGGAAGGTATGTTCTGTTACAGGAGGTGAAACTGGGTCGATTTTGTGCAATAATGGGAATGTTCTGCGTTGAATTTTGCAGCTAAGCAGCCCATTAGACTTGCAGGCGTTGCTGGCCTAATGTGCTCCAGTTGGTAACCCCATGTTCTAGAAAGCTCTGCTACCCCTTCTGACGCTGCTGGCTGTCAGAACCTCTGAGCTGCCAACACTGTTTCTCCAGACAAAAGGGGCACTGAACCGTGTCAGAGCCGCTCCTCCCGAGCCTCGGAGTTCATTTAAAACTAACAAACGGCACCTTCGAGAAATTCCTCCTGGTGCTGGCTCTGACCTAAGCAAATGAGTCACAGCCTTGTACAGCACCGCTTAACGCAGGCACAAATAACCCAGGCAAGTGACGAGCGCGCTGGGCCCAGCCGCTCTCCTGCGGCACACCCTGCACCCACCAGAACGCGTGTTACTATTGCACCTCGGCTCAGAACGCAATCAATGAGTGAAGTTCAAATGTGGCACATTTCCTATTTCCCTGACAGCTTATTTCATGGATCACAGGGACCAAAGTACAGCTGCTTATTCAACAGAGGAAAGAATGAATCAATTTTCATTCCTTAATATACTGTGTGACCTATTCTCTGATGCTCTCTCCTTTACAATAGCTCCAGTCTTTTCAAGGCCCTCAATTCTGTCAGATAGAGAAAATTTAGAACAGTGACACAATGCCCCGGCCCACGCCTGCTTCGAGTGACCGACCGCTCTGCACGTGAGAGATACCGCGTCCCTCGGCCCGAATTACACAAACTGTGATCCCATGTCATCAGAAAGGAACCAAATTCCTGGAAGGTGATTTGCCGGTGGTTTGCTGGGGAATCCTGCTCCCGCCTGCTCCGGGAGCTCAGCCTGTGCTGCTGCTCAGGACCGGACACAGGGAGCTCAGGCCATGTACCATCACTCAGGACCAGGTGCATAAACACAGTGAGTGCCACCTCCCCACCCATGGTCCCCAAGACCATGCCACACCGAGCAGTGAGGCCAAAGCCCTGTTGCTCTGCTCACCCAGCAGTCTCTCTGAAGCTAGCACATAATGATAGCAGGTCTTTAGGCACTGCTAATTTGGACAGAATTAATACACTGAGATGCATCATTTTGCAATTTCAGTGTGAAGATCATTTTTTCATTTAGAAATATCCTCAGGTATTGCGGGTTTAACCACCCTCTGCCTGCCTTGTGTTTGTCTTGCCTTACTTACCCCTTGTTCACAGGTAATACTCACATTGTCCTTGTCACTGATAACTGGGTTTCAGCCTGGGCTCTTTTACTGTGACATTTTTGAAAGCAGGAAGGTGAGGCTCTGCACAGGAGAGCAGAGCACAGGGGTGAGGCTGGGCCCCGGCGCTGCCACTGGCAACGAGACAAAGGGCATCTGAAGAGCCAGCAGCCTGAAGAACTGGACACGGTGTGAACGGGCAAGCTGGGACAGGAAGCACCCTGGGACCTCCACAGGCAAATGGGATTTCTGGCTCTCCTCCTGCCCGGGATGAAGGTGAGACCCCATGCGGCTTGCCTGGCCTTAAGACATGAAGGTAATGAATCAGGCCCTATCAGAATATTATCTAGATGAAACGGATATATCATGGCCAGCTTTATTTGCTTTTGTCTTTACATATCCAGTAGTTCAACTCTAGGGTTTTCAAAGCATGTGGATTTAACAAACATCAGTACTTCAGGGCCCATGGGCAGACAAACTGCTTTTCCAGTTCATAAAATGAATCTGCGAAGAGCAGGGGTCACTAAACAGCTGCAACAAATGTTGTAGGCCAGACCTGTGCTTCCGCAGCCAAGAGCTGCAGTGGAGGCTGCTGCCCTGAGAGATTAATTCTCCTTTGTTATTCCTCCTCAGTGGTGGGAACAGAACAGGAGCTGTGTAGCTGGCATGAAAGGGTCTCCCCTCCTCACCAAAGACAGGTTCCCTCCACACCAGCCTGCAGACTTGTGGCTATCTCCACCTTTTCCGTATAAGATCAGACTTATCCCTGTTGCCAGCCATGCCTCTCCTGAGCAGAGCAGCTGCCCATGAGCCAGCTGCTCCCAGTGCTCTGTTCATTGTGGCACTGTCCCAGTGCTCTTCTCACACAGCCAGGGTTGTTCTGCACCAGAACAAGACACCTGAACTTCCCAGTTATGGAGTTTTGGCAGACAGCTCTGGAGGACAGCAATGAGGGATGGAGGCTGAGCAGCCAGCAGCTGAGGTTCACCTGGTTAGCTTTGGATGCACTGTGTGTGTGGCGCTGGGCACATACTGCCATAGGGGTTGGTGCGCTGCATCCCTGTCACCAGCACCCATAGCTCTCAGATAATATGCCAAATCTGCCCACTATGCTCTATCAAACTAACGTTCAAAATCGAGTTTTAACAAGACCTTTTCCCTTCAAACAATGTACAGATTAATAGTCAGCAGCATCTGAAAAATGGCCCTAATCCCTGTCTGCACAGGGAGTTTGTTCCCAGTGCAATGTGCCATATTATGACAACGATATATTCTTCAAGTGAGTGAAAACTAATGAATAACTAACACCCTGACAGTCTTGCTGTTACTGAGTGCTTAGGAGTTAGGTAAAACTGACAGTGTAAGATGAATATGGCACTAAGATGAGATGTTACTTTGCATGGCTGGTCAGGGGAATCCAGACTTAATGGACATTACAGATGGGTTAATTCTAAAGGCTGGATTTGATCCTAAGCCATAGCTGCTCTCCAAGCAAATAGGGAAGGCTTAATCACTCAGACAACTGAGCCCCAGGCAGCAGTGCCATTCATGAAGGGAGCACTGGGAGCATGCTCATGGGAGGAAGGATGCGAGTTTGCCTGCTGCCTCTGCCTCCCTGGGAGCAGGCAGAGCCCCTGCCCACCCGTGAGGGCCCAGCAGAGCTCAGGCAGACTTTCTGTACTGCGCTGCAGATGCAGGCAGGGAGGCAGGACCGTCCCTCGCCGGAGGGATCCCCAGAGCACACCACACATGCACTGAAATCACGAGGTGCCAGTGAGATCATTCAAGCTGCAAGAGGATGGGCAGTATGATCCCAGAATCAAATGTGGCTATTTGCCCAGAGCACTGTGGAGCCCCTCAGTATCCACGGGTTTCAAGAGGCTTCAGAGCCTCACCTGACAGTTCGGTGCAATGGTCAGACACAACCACTGCTCTAGAAGGACAGCGAGCAGGATCTCTGAGGACTGCAGGCAAATAATCCTGTAATCCATGCCCTTCCTGCTATGGGTTTTCACAAGCATGTCCTAATGGCTGTGGCAAAAAGCTAGCCAGCCCCCCGTGCCACACTGAGCTTCCTCTCAGACCTCCTCCATGGTGGTGCTGGGGGTCATTCAAAGGCTTATCACAGCCAGAACCCCTGCAGCATTCCCCATGCTCAGCAGAGGATCATGGGCAAGGGGGGATCTCCTGTGTCTGGTTAGCTCTGCCCATACCCGGTACAAGACAAACTACAGTGTGGTGGGCTCCCTCCTACACCTGGCTTGCAGCAGCAGGCACTTACCATGCATTCCTTGAGACCTGACATGGCTGCATCTTGCTTCCACCCTCATTCCCTTCAGTTTAAATTCAGTCAAGGACAGACCTCCCTCCTCAGCAGATACAGAGCAGGTCCCAGTGTGTACCTGTTTCCAGGAGCAGAGGCTTCAGAATGACAGCCTTGCAGTGCGTGAGCCTGGCAAAATCACGGTCACACTGATGTCAGGATGGTCCCTGAGCTTCTTACCGCAGGCACAAACCAGGAGGAACCAGTTCCTGTAATTAAAAAGTTAAGCCATATCAGAGGAAAACTAATCAGCTTGTTGGATGCCGGCAAATTAAATATTAAACTATTGTGAACACAAAAATGTTCATCTTCAGATATTTTCTGGCACAAGTGTCAAAATCAGAGTGGAACCAAAGCTTTATTCATTTTCCATTATCAACTTAAATAAAAACACTCAGAAAAATGGGCAATGACGTGCAGAAGCCACTCAGCACAGATAATTACAGTGTAAGTTTAGGCAGCTAATCACTCCTAGAATATGCTTCAGATCAAGATAACTGACTGGCTTGTTTCCCTGCTTTGTTAAATCAGACACTCTCAGCTCTCCCTGATGGGGATGAGGCTCCCAGAGTCAGCATCTTTAAATAACAATAGGGCTGTCTGGCAGGCACAGAAGTCACCCTGCCACCCAGCAGCAGGATAGATAGGAAGTCTCCTCTAGGAAAGCAAAGCAGAAAGAGGTAGGGACAGTGTGGAAGCAATGCCGGGAGATGGGATGGGAAGTGGCAGGCAAGAGCAGGGAGAGGGGAGGAACGAAGGGCAGGTGTGGGAGCAGAAGCACAGAGAGCCATAGGCAAGGACACGCTGCAGAACCCAGGCACCGCTGCAGCAGCAGGAAGGGCCAGTGCTGCAGGAGCCTCCCCCTGCGGGGCAGCAGCTCTGGCCTTGACAGTGCTCAGAGGAAGAGCTGCCCGTGGGGCAGCCCCACACCCCTCACCCCCTGCCTGGGGCTCCTGGCACCCCACTGCAGCGCTGCCACGCCCCAGATGAGCCTTCCTGCGGAAGGAGAGCAATGGGGTGCAGAGGAGGTGACCAACAGGTTCTCCTCCAAGAGACTCCACTTTTTTGGACTGTGAGCAAAGGGTGATGTTCCACAACCCTTCCTCTGGCATGCCAGGCCCAACCTTCCCAGTGGGTGCCAGCCCACATGCTTTACATTTCAGTTTCAATGAGGGCCTGCCATTGCTGGAGTGGTGAGCAGCACTGGGCAGATAGAGTGAACATGGTGTTGGCCCCAGCAGACGGAGAGAGGAGCATCCACCTGGGACAGAACACACTCAGCTGCAGCCTGGGTAATTCTGCACTGCCCAGTGTCTGACCACTGCATTTGCTTTATCAAGAGCAGATAAAATGAACTCCCCTCTACAGCTCCAGTGGATCACCCTTAAGTTCTCAATCACTAATTTACATGGGCTTTTGCCTGGAACTAGAGCAAGAATTATCTTTATAGCAGCATTCATAGAAATTCTTTCTTCTGCTTAATTATTAACCTTGCTGTAGTAAATAAAGGGTGTTTATGAATTCCATCAATCACTACAAACCTTTTGCATGTAAAGCACGGAGACATTTGTAATGAAGAAGCAGCATTCACTTTTGCTTTATTTAAAGCAATGAATAAATATAGTCTGTGGATGCTCTCGTGCGGTTTCTTAAACCCGAAAGCCTGCCAGCGGCTCTGCCTGACTCCCTCCCTGCTTCACTGCAACAGCCTAAGGGAAGAGTGGACTGAAATACAGGGGGACTTTAAAGAGCTCAGACGCCCTCAGTGATACAGGTTTCAGAGATGGCAGAAGCTCTGTCAATGCAGTGCTCGGTGTTCTCTTTTGGAGCCAATGTCTGCCCATGTCAGCTGTGCATCAGCCAGACTCGAGCCATCTCACCAGCCTTCTCCAGTCTCACTGATGGGCTGTGATCTGTGGAATGCTGGGTTGAGCTGTTTCTTGTCCTTAAGATCCCCAACAGATAGAATGCACAAGGGAAGTGCCAGCCACTGAATTATTCAGTGTAGTCCCCAAGATCGGCCTCACCATTGATAATGCATCTCTCTAGAGACACACAAACTAAAGCAGTAGCTTTACACATTCCAAGACACCTCTCCCAGCTATTTATACACCCTATTGCTAAACAGGCATTGCCAGGGTTTCTTCTTCTCATCCACTTTGACCCTGACAAACAGAAGTTTCTCTGAACCAGACATATTCTCTTCTGTTTTCCAAATAATCATGAATCTTTTCTCCCTCTTGAATTAAGCAAGCCATGATCTTTAGTTATGTGCTGCTTTGGATCCTGGGGGCTCAGCACAAGCAACTGCAAGAGGAGCCAGTAAATTATTTTATCTGAGCAGCACAACCAAGTGAGAGCTTTTGTGGACATCAAATGAAAATGACCAAGCTCTCACTCTGGAAGAAACTGTGGTATTAGAAAGCATAAAACCTACACTCTTCAAATTCCAGTAGGCTTATGTTGTATTAATTATTTATCAAGATGTTTTCTTAAAGTAGTGTCTTTGTGCCTTTAATTTTCAATTCCCTTAATGCTATGAGGATCTCTGCTGGCAACACATCCATTATTAATGGAGTTAAAACAATATTTGTTTTCCCCAACTACATTTTGGAGTGCTATCTTCACACCAGTTAGGCTTCTCTGAATCTCCCCTGAGGGGCTCTGCTTTCCTCCAGACTCGTGGCTCAGGCTCAGGCTTGGCTTTGATTTGGCTGTGGGAGCTGGCGTGGCACCGCAGCCACCGGGCCGGGGCATGCAGCAAGCTCAACAGCCCTGAGGAGGGCACAGCGACAGCAGCGCGGATGAAATGGGGCTGCGGAGTTCAGAGGTTCTGTTGCTGTAGGGCCTGCTCTGCCCTTCCTCATTGCAGCAGCTGTCCCCAAGTGCAGCCTCTGCCTTCCTGGGCTTGGAAGACTTGTCTCCTAACAAAGGAAACGGCAGTGCAGCTCCTGAAATCTGCAAGCAGGCCACTCAATTCAGCAAAGGGGTACTTGGGTTTAAGAACTTTATGCAGTCTCAGCCACTTCTCTCTCTGCCAGAGAGCACATAAAAAATTAAAACCCCAAAAAAGCAAGAAGCTCTTCTAGGCCCTAATTATAAATATATTTTCACAAGGAGGAGTCAACTTAAGCCTAATATCGTGTGAAATCTCATCATTTCAATACCGTCTTCACTGGATGTAGACTGGCAATTGGAGCTGTGGAATCAATTTTTCCCATACTTGAAACAGCCAAATGAGTATGAAATGTGTTGCGTTTGTTCCATGCACGTCTCCAGTTCTGCACTTTGCTTGCACTGGAACGATCATTCTGATGTATTTTTTATAATGGAGCAACATTTCCTCAGACTTTGATGTTTCACGTGTGGAGCCATTATAACCATTTGCCATTTAGATGCATGATCCATGGCTCATCTCCAAAGCTTTGATGCATGCAAGAATTAGTACTATTGATGTCATTGCACCATATTTAAAATATGAACACCTCTTTGTAAGTCTACAGCTAACAGAAGAGGGAGGCAGCCAGTCCACACCAAGGCTGGCAAGTTCCTGTTGGTAAAGTTCCCACGCAGTGCCTGGTGACATCCTTCAGTGAGAGCAGGAAGGCGATGCAATGTGTGCTCTGGTCTCCGTACATGGGGAACAGCTCTAGGAAACTGAACCCTGGGGTCTCCAGGTGCCACACCGTGGGCATTGACCCTGAACTCAGCTCCACGGCATATTTCAGCACCTCTTGCACCTGGGGTCCTGAGTACTTCTATCTGCAGCGTGTAGCACTGTGGGTCTGTATGCACTGGGAAGAGTCTGCCTGGAGCATACAGGACAAGATTAGCATGATGCTGAAAACGGAGAGCTCAAGCTGCTGGACTCAGCCTCTTCCCAAGGACACATGGAAGCAGCCTGCAGTGCAGTCTGGCTTAAAACAGCTGGCTGACACCAAGCTGAAGTTGTTACCCTGCACCTCCTTACAAAGAAAGATATGCAAACAACAAACTCTGCCTCCTGCAAGCCGAGCAGCTGGGAGCCAGCCTGTCTGCATTGGGCATGCCCTTGTGCCCCTGCAGTGAGACAACCTTCCTGCTCCTTCACAGGAGGTGTTCATTACAGGCTGCCTTTGCCCTGCTCAGACTCCACTGGTTGGGCTGACACATGTCTGAGTAGAAATTTCATTGATTTTATTATGTACAGCCAGTGTTTTACATGGCAGGATCAAGAGGCAGAAGACAGAGAGTGATTAGCTGAAAAAGAGAACCAAAGCAGGAGGGCAGATGCAAGGGTGGGGAGGCGAGGGCAGACAGGAGCATCAGCAGTCAGGCTCTCTGGAGCCAGAAGCCAGTTTCACATAGCAAAGACATTGGCTGTTCACATGGTCCCATCTTGCCTCCCAGCCTTACACAGGCATCCTGATCCCAGCCACGGCCTTTCTTATCTCTGCCTCCTAGAAGGTGCATGTGGTCACCTCACTCATGCAGTCCTGATCTGCTCTGCTGGCTGCAGAACCTCTCCTCCTCCTCCCTCAGCCCATGGTGTCTCAGCTAGCTGCTGGTAATTCAAAGGCTGAGCCCTGCTATGCAAAGAGGCTACAAAAATAGCTCCCAAAGGCTCTAGATGTAGCCAGCTATCTGGAAGAAAATGTGAACCCATGCAGAAAAGTGAACCCAGAACGCTATGCAGGTCCTGACCAAGGAAAAAAACCCTCCCTGGCAAGCAGGAATTCCTTTGTTGGCCTCCAAAGGCAGAGCTCTGCATAGCTCTTGGCAACCCCAGCGGACACCCTCGCTTTCTCAGTATCCACCACCCCCTTCTCAATTGCTTTTAAGAGCATCACTGTACATACCCTTTCTTTACACTACCAAGCTAGAGACTCTCAGTGCCAGAGTTAGCCCAGGTGTGCTGTACTGTCACTTCATCCCAGGAGCACAAATCAGGGAGAGACAAGTGTAACTTACTCCTGCATGAGCACTCTGCAACATCCATGCCTGATAAACTGACAGCACAGAAGACAAACATGACAAGAGCTTGCTTTACAGATCACTTTACCCCCTTTATGGTTAATGGGCTGCTGGGGGTAAAATTACTGAACTCTCCAGTTCCAGCTCCCAGGCAGTTCTGCTGCTCCCTTGATCCAAGGCTGAACAAAATCAGCCAGTGTGCTGCATGCCCCAGCAAAGGCTCAACCTCATCTGACCAGGGCAGAGCACAGAACCAGCAGCTGCAGGGAGGTGAATTCACCACCAGCAGAAGTCACACTGCCTCCACTCCTGGCTGTGGGATTG